CAAGAAACGTCTTTTTCTGAAAATATTACATGTCCTTCTTCCCTTAGAAATCTTGTATTTCTTTAAACTAATGCTTCAATAACTTCAACAAAGATAATCTAAACAGCCAAAGTTTCTCTATCAGCAAAGCAAATCTATAAACCAAATGAAAATATTTTAAAACTACTGCTTTTAGAAAAGTGGCACAAATACTATTTAGACTTCTGTTGTTGTGTTTTGTATATAAATGGTGTTCAAAACATCCAGAACACTACTATTTGTGAAAAGGATTGAAAACTGGTAAATGTACTAATCAAGCTAATGCTATAATTATTTTATTGAGGCTAATGTTTCTGTAAATGATGTACACACATTATTCAGACAAGCCATGCATAGTATTGAGATATCTGTTTCTCTAAGCTTTGTGCATGTGCTGTACATATAAACTACTCAGATTACAATTATTCTGAAAATGTTGTGTATACTATTCAGACAACTATTTCTCCAAGAATTGTGCATGTACTGTATATAAACTACTCAGACTAGTGTTGTGTATACTATTTAAACATCTGTTTCTGAGCAGTGTGCATATACTGTACATATAAGCTACTCAAGTTAGTTGTGTATACTATTCAATGTGTCTTTCATGTAAATAACCATGTGTCACATCCTCACCAATAGGAGCATGACATGCTCACGTGATGCATGTGACTACCTCTACACTCCATTACCGAACTATCACTTTGAAGTTTGGCAGAAGATGTCACAGGTAATACATTTTCAGTATAGGAAAATTATAACTTCCGACACAGTACTTACCTCCTCTTACAAGATTAGCTAGAACCCCACATTGATAAGGAGGAGGGACCTGCCAATAGGGTACCAACATCTGCGCAAGGGTAGGATGAGGATCATACCATCTTCACTTCAAATCTAAGAATCAGGGGATTGAAAACCACTCCCATTCCTGGGTATGATACAAGGATTTGCTCTAAGCAATCAATCCTCCAACCGTGAAACAGGCCAGGACTATCCAAATGGCAATAACATCTCCGTACAAAGAGAAGATAAGGGATAGCCAAGTACAGAACTGGAACAATCCCATGTACCACTGCTGTAACCCATAACACATATGGTGAAAAATAGACAACCCAAAACCTGTGTGAGGACTTATGTTGATCGGTTCACTCTAAATCCAAAACCTGCCGCGGGTACCGATATCCACGTGAGGGTAGTATGAGAGCTCCCAATCGATGGGGTGAACTGCCTTCTGATATCTCACTCCATCATCATTGGTTATCGCAAATAGGAGGATAGCACGTCATCTACACCCGCAAAACACCATCATCCCCTACTATGTAACTGAATGGTTATTGTGTGGAACTCATTTAGCAAGGTGCCTCCATGGTCAACTACCCCAGTGGCTTGGAACTGGAAAATAGTATGGACTCCCATACTCCACACAAAGAAAGGAGGGTGACAATGCGGTAGAGATTCCGGAGGAACATCATCACCTGAGACAGTGCAATGAGTGACGATGAAACCTTATTTTGAAAAACCGAGTTATTCACTC